TCTGCCTGGTGTCCCGCATCTCTTTTATACCTAGGAATTTCCCCATTCTGTGGGCAACAAAGATCCGTCTGGAAATGCGGCCCTGACTCACCCTATCCGTGCATTGACCATGAGCTTCAATCCTGGATTGTTCTCACAGTGCCATCTTCTTGCTCTCCCCCCTCTAAACATATTTTATAAATAAATTAAATTTTTAAAAAATTGTGTCAAAAATGTTTTAAGCTCATTAATGAATGAGGGAAATGGTAAAATGTCACAACTGATTTAAAAGTAGATTCAAATAGCATCTACATACAAATATAAAAATCGCATTTTCTTTTTTAATTTTTAATTTAATTTAATTTTTGAGACAGAGTCTTGCTGTATCACCAAGGCTGGAGTGCAGTGGTACAATCTTGGCTCACTGCAGCCTTGACATCCTGAGCTCAGGTGATCCTCACGCCTCCGCCTCCCAAGTAGCTGGGATTACAGTCATGTGCCACCATTCTTGGCTCACTGCAGCCTTGACATCCTGAGCTCAGGTGATCCTCACGCCTCCGCCTCCCAAGTAGCTGGGATTACAGTCATGTGCCACCATTCTTGGCTAATTTTTAAAATATTTTTATAGAGATGGGGTCTCACTATGTTGCCCAGGCTGATCTTGAACTCCTGAGGTTTCAAGGGATCCTCCTGCCCCGGCCTGCCTAAGTGCTGGAATTAGAGGTGTGCACCACCATGCCCAGATGTATAACACACCTTTTCTAGAAAGGGTCAGATAATATTTTGGGATTTGCAGGCCATGTCTGTTGCAGCTACTCAGTTCTGCCATCGTAGCCTGAAACGGCTATAAACGATATGTTAATAATATGTTAAGGAGTGGTTGCTGATATTTCAATGAAACTTGATTCTCAAAAGCATGTTGTAGGTGCATTTGGCCTACAGACCTTCTTTGCTGTTCTTAATTGACCTGATATAGACAATTAAGAACACTGAAATGACTTCACAAGTGGCTGCAAAACTGGTCAATATCCACAGGGCAATAATCAATTGCATCCTATAGAACTGAATTTGCATCTCTGTTGGCAAGACTCATTTACATTTTTATCAGTTTTCTGCAATTTACAGAAATGAAAATACAGTTGATCATTATTTGTGAATTCTGTATCTGCAAATTTGCCTTCTTGCTAAAATTTATCTGTGATTCCCAAATCAATAATCATGGTGCTTTTGTGGTCGTTAGTGCACATACACAGAGGAGCAAAAATTTCAATCACCTGGCACATTCCCAGCTGAGGATGAATGAAGTGCTACCTTCTTATTTCAGCCTTCATATTGTAAACAAGGGTCCTTTTTGATGTCTATTTAGTACGGCTTTTTCACATTTTAGAGGGGGGTGTGTGTGTGTGTGTCTTTTGGTTATTTTACTGTTTTAAGAGGCCCCTAAAAGTAAAATGCCGAAGAGCTGTTTCGGGGTAAGCAGGCTGTGACGGAGTAAATATGTCCAGGCGTAAGTTACAGTGCTGCTGACCATGACTTCAGTGTCAATGAATCAACGACACATATTAAATAAGGTGGTTTCAACTAGAAACACACATATTGCAAGGTTATGCACTGATCTGTTAATGAAAATGCTATGGCCAAGGGCTAGCAGGAACCTAAACCTGTGTTTCCCCTAGGAACAATGGTTCAGTGTTCGCTAATTAACAGCTGGTGATGACTTTACAGAACTTAATACCATGAAGTACAACAATTGATTGTGTCTCAAAGAAAGCCAGTGAAATGTGGAGCTAACCCAGAAGGGTGCTCAAGACAGCACACCCTGTAACTCTCTCCTAATGCTCTGGTGTCAGTAATGCACGTTTCGCTGCCTTACTTCCTGACTCCCTCACAGTAGCTGTCTTCCTTCCCCACAGTGTTTCCTAGGACCACCTCCCAAGGAAGCAACTTGCACAGCAATTCTTCTCTCAGAGTCGGCTTCCAGCGGAACAGAGACTAAGACAGGTTACACTGAGCAGAGGCACATGGTGAGAGTTGAGGGTATAGAGACATAATTAGCAACTGAGAATGAAAAGCTGGGTTGGTTGAAAAGCAGAAGGGGCCCTAAGGATCCACTGATGGAATATAGATACATTTTCTATTTTTAAAATTATTTTATTGATTGATTGATTGAGACAGTGCCTCACTCCGTCACCCAGAACTGGAGTGCACTGGTGCGATATTGGCTCACTAAAGCCTCCATCTCCTGGGTTCAAGCGATCCTCATGTCTCAGCCTCCTGAGGAGCTAGGATTACAGCTGGGTGCCACCACACTCAGCTAATTTTTGAATTATTAGTAGAGTCGGGGTTTCACTATGTTGGCCAGGCTATGCTTGAACTTCTGGCCTCAGGTGATCTGCCCACCTTGGCCCCCAGAGAGTTGGGATTACAGGCGTGAGCCACAGTACCCAGCTGATACATTTTTAAATTCTTTAAAAAATGAGTTAACTGGATGTGATATTGCACACCTGTAGTCCCAAAGGAGTCTGAGGCAAGAGGATTGTTGAGTCCAAGAGTTTGAAGCTGCAGTGAGCTATGGTTCTGCCACTGTAGTTCAGCCTAAGCAACAGAGAAGAAGATGCTGTCCCTTAAAAAATAATAATAACAATAAATAAATAATGGATTGCAAACAGAAGCAGAATGCTGATGCAGGCCTGCAGGGTGGAATAGAACAGATACAGACAGTGGTGATGCACAGACATTTAAATCAGCCAACACATTCCCAGTGGAAAGTGTCTTTTGGTGCGGGCCTGCAGGATGGAGTGAAGCAGAGACAGACAGTGCGATGCACAGACGTTTAAAGAGCTGCTAAAGCCATTAGAGTTGCCGCGGTCCGAGGCCTGAGTGAGTGCAGAGGATGGGAAGGAAGATGAGCGACGCTTCAACCAGAAGACTCAGCAGAACTGCAGTGACTGATGTGCAGAGTGAAGCCAGGGCAGAGCCAGGGCCCCTCCCTCTGAGGCATCCAGCCTGTGGTTGTCATTAAGAGAAGAGGGAGTGAGGACTTTAGGGGAACGGAATGTGAAGTGGAAAGTCAGCACTGGAAGCTACATTTCAGAGAAAGAAACCAAAGCTGAGTGTGCTTGTACTCTTATCTAGACAGATATTTCTGAGCATGGGAAAGGAGGAAGACGAGGACACAAACTCTTGGCTTTTGTTTTTGTTTTGTTTTGTTTTTTCAGATCCAGGAAAAATAAGTAGTTGCAATCCAGGAATAAAGCACAGCTTTGCCAACTGAAAGATTTGACTTCAATCCTCTGGTTTCTCTTCAGGTCGTATAAATCTGTCACCTTTGACTGGAAGATTTTATTTCTCTCTATTCTCTCCGTATACCTCAGTGAGATAATAAAGGGATAGATCATAATACTAATAATTAAAAAAAACAGGGAGGAAGAGAGAAAAGGAAAGATTCCTAACTAAGAGAATAGGGCTTTGCTGGAAAATAGGGTCTATAGAGAAAGCCTTGGTTAAAATAGAAGCTTCCAGATGTAGGCAGGGCTCATGTCGTAGAGAGAGGTGCCACACAGACTATGATGGCATCACAGACAGGTAAGACGGGGATATACAAGCAAAAGCCCTTAAATCACATCTGGCGGGGTGTGGTGGCTCACGCCTGTAATCCCAGCACTTTGGGAGGCTGAGACAGGTGGATCACTTGAGATCAGGAGTTCGAGACCAGCCTGGCCAACACGGTGAAATCCTGTGTCTACTAAAAATACAAAACTTAGCCAGGTGTGTTTGTGGGTGCCCATAATTTCAGCTACTCAGGAGGCTGAGGCAGGAGAATCACTTGAACCCGGGGGGGGTGGGGGAGTGGGCGGGGAGGTTGCATTGAGCCAAGATCGTGCCACTGCACTCCAGCCTGGACGACAAAGTGTGACTCTGTCTAAAAAAAAAAAAAAAACACCTTATACCAAGTCAAGTATACTGGGGCATTCATTGTATTATAACCAGACCCACCCCTCTGGGTTAGGCCAGTGAGGACTGTGAAGAAGTCAGTTTGGCCCAGCTTGCTTTGCTGATTTCAGCAAAAGCACTTACAGCCTTCTGGAGGAGAGTAAAAAGATAAGGTCTTCAGGAAGATAAAGATAAAGGTCTTCTAACCTTGTCCCTTGCTGGAGATGCTGTTACAGCCGCCCAGAGAGGGACCCCTTGTTTCAGCAGATAACAGCTTCTGGGCATGTAATCTGTTTTCCTATTATCTGCAGTAACTCAGGGTCAATGGACTCTAACTGTAGAGGGGTCATAGCATTACCCCAGCCCCAGAGAAAGTGCGCATGTCTCAGATACAAGGCAGAAGTATTTCTCAATGCTTACTGGATATGTTTTGACTCCCAAGACACGGATGTTTGTAGGGGAAAGGCAGCTGGTTTAGGATTGAGAGCAAGATCTCAGGAGTCTAAGATGGTGAGTCCATAGTGCAGGGTTATAGTGTTTTAGACTCTTCCGGTGAAAGAGCCATAAGGCAGGGGAAGGAGCACAAGAGCCAGGATGCTTCTCAGGAGACAGCCTGACCTCTTTGCTGGAGTTCAGAGCTAGAGAGAAATTAGGTTGCCACAGCGCTGTTGAACCTAAGCCCATCTGCTTTCTGCAAGTGCCACAAGGATGTAAGCAGGCCCACACGGGACCAAATCTTATACTTCCGCAAACCAGGACTGGATGGAGGGTGGGAGAGGACTAAAAGCAGTGGTGGGGCTGGATGTGGTGGTTCATGCCTGTAATCTCGGCACTTTGGGAGGCTGAGGTGGGAGGATCACGAGCCCAGGAGTTCAAGACTGGACTGGACAACATGGTGAGACCCTGTCTCTACAAAAAAGTCAAAAAATTATCCAAGTGTGGTGACGCACACCTGTAGTCCCAGCTACTCGCGAGGCTGAGTGGGAGGATCACTTAAGCCTGGGAGGTCAAGGCTGCAGTGAGCCATGATTACGCCAGTGCATTCCAGTATGGACGACAGTGAGACTCTGTCTCAAAAAAAAAAAAAAAATAGTAGCAGAAGCTGTGTCCATTCTGTTGTGAGCCCCAAGATGAATCTACCTGCCACCCAGATGTGCCCTAACCCCTGAGATGTGCACTTTGTCCTATGCTAACCTCACCCCTCCCCACGGAAGGAGAGCAAACAGGTTGTGCCGGTCTTGGGCCCACATCCCCTCCCTGCCTTGCCTGTGCACCAGATGCCCAGAGCTCTGGAATCTCTGCCCTCATGGCCCAAGCCTATTTCCACTGCCTGGCAGGCTGTCTCCCATGCGCCTGGGCCCATGGGCTGACTCTGTTCCTGGAATAGCATCCGTAGGCTGGAAAGTCCAAGGAGGCAGAGCACTTGGACATGAAAAATGGGGTATCCACAGAGCTATTGGAGGGAGAAGAGGGGTAGCAAATCATGAGACAGGTACAGGGTCACCACATGCCCCCATGTTCAGGACAAAACACTGAGGAGTCTGAGAGTTTTACATTGAAACCAGGTTTCCCAAGTCCTTGTAAAGGCACATTTGTCATGGTAGGAGAATAGACGTATTTTAGTTAACAGTTTGTTGTCTTGATTTATAATTTTTTAATATTCAGACATAAAGTATAAGTGAACTTCCACCTGTCCTCTTGCCTCAGTCCCTGAAAAGATCAGTGTCCAACCAGCATCCCCATGGGTGGCATGAAAAGCCAGACACGGGAAATGATGCCATCTCCACTGTCTCCTGAGGCCATCCATCCATTCATCTATCCGTGGGTCCAGGTGACCTCCATGCTTCACTCTGTTTTCCATCCACTGAGGCCATCCATCCATGGGTCTACATGACCTCCGTGCTCTGCTCTGTTCTCCATCCACCGAGGCCATCCATCCATGGGTCCACATGACCTCCTTGCTTTGCTCTGTTTACCATAATATGACTGTTTGGCTATCATTATGATCCAAACCAGTGTCTCTCAGACATGAGTTTGTATCCACCCTCAAATAGTCTCAATGAATAAGAGATAATCCTGCTTTCTCCCCTGTACCTTGGGCTGGATGCTAACCACACTTGCCCTGTCTGGCTCCATGGCCATAGGAAGGAGTCAGACATCTGAACAAGAGGATGGGGTGAGGTAGACCATTGAGAGGGAAACTCTAAGCTTCAGAGAACCTGCAGAGCTTAGCAGAAATTATTTGGTGGTTGCAAATAGTGCAAAACTGATTAATAGGAAACTGGATTTGTGAAATATCCTATGTCCTTATCATGCCTAACAAAAAACATGAATGCCATTGGTCAGCCAAGACTGACTTTTAAACATGCCTGAACTTCTGAGGCACAATTGCTGCCACCAAGACCACCTTTTTGGTGATAGCAACCCATATCTCTGAGAGCATTATGTGGATTTTCATGACTCTTTCATAGCACAAAATACTAAGTTATTTTGGAGAACTGTTTCTTTCTGTATGCATTTCCCTTGCTAATTTCTGGTTATGCTATGATGTTAAGTATTAAGACAGGTTATTAGAGCATTTGCTATGTATAGAAGCTGTCGCGGTGGGTTGTTATTTTGATGTTAGCGTGCTTCCGCTGACTGTCCACACGGAATCTGTGGGCTTACAAGGAAGACATTCTTCAGAGGAGGCCCATCTGTTCTCCAACTCACTTCCTAAGAGAAAGCATGAGAATTTTAAGGCTCTAATCCTATAACACACGGATGCAAGGGCGTGCACAAACACACAGTGTGGTCCATTTGCAGTGGCCTTTCTTCATTGTGTGATCTTCAATGCTGATGTGATGGCTTGGACAAACACCTGGAGATTTCTCTAGAATTTCAATTTGTGCAAAACTGAAAGAGCTGAGAAACATGATTGGCTAGGTACTTGTAGAGAGCAAAGTAGGTTCGTATGCTACAGAGAGAGGAAAGAGCTTCAGATCATAGAAGTCTGTAAGAAAAATCCAACCACAGAGTGAACACATGGACAACCTAAACTCTTACTTTTTTTGATATTTTAAAGTGGTGTGGAAAAAAATATATATTTTTTTCCAGGCCAGGAGTGGTGGCTCATGCCATCCCAGCACTTTGGGAGGCCAAGGCAGGCAGATCACTTGAGGCCAGGAGTTCAAGACCAGCCTGAACAACATGGCGAAACCCTGTCTCTACTAAAATTACAAAAATTAGCTGGGCATGATGGTGCATACCTGTGATCCCAGCTACTCAGGTGGCTGAGGCAGCAAGAGAATTGCTTGAACCCAGGAGGTAAAGATTGGAGTGAGCCGAGATCATGTTACTGCACTCCAGCCTGGGCAACAGAGCGAGACTCTGTCTCAAAAAAAAAAAAAAGATTTTTCCAACGTGTTTTGTGGGTCAACAGCATAGTATGTGTGTTGCTGGCATTTTATGTGATCTGGCCATTCTTAAAGCTAAGCATGCTTCTTCATATCTTCTTATGCTTTAGAGGAAGTCATTCTTTTTTTTTTTGAGACAGGGTCTCACTGTGTCACCAAGCGGGAGTGTAGTCGCATGATCAATGCAGCCTTGACCCTACAAACTATTTTCTATAAAAGTAAAATGAAACGGGCCGGGTGCAATAGCTCAAGCCTATAATCCCAGTTTGGTAGTAAAAATACTTACCATTTATTGAAAATGTATGGCTAGGCGCAGTGGCTCACACCTGTAATCCCAGCACTTTGGGAGGCCAAGGTGGGTGGATCACGAGGTCAGAAGTTTGAGACCAGCCAGGCCAACACAGTGAAACCCTGTCTCTACTAAAAATACAAAAATTAGCTGGGCATTGTGGCGGGTGCCTGCAATCCCAGCTACTCAGGAGGCTGAGGCAGGAGAATCACTTGAACTCGGGAGATGGAGTTTGCAGTGAGTCAAGATCACGCCACTGCGCTCCAGCCTAGGAGACAGAGCTAGACTCCATCTCAAAAAAAAATAATAATAATTAAAATTAACCAAATAACTATATGCAAAAACAGACTCTCAACCTTCATATCGTAAACAAAAATTAATCTGAGATGGATCACAGATCTATGCATAAAAGCTAAAACTGGCAGTCAGCCAAGACCACACCATGCACTCCAGCCTGGGCAACAAGAGCAAAACTCCATCTCAAAAAGAAAAAAAAGCGAAAACTATAAAGTTTTTAAAACAAAACACAGAATTCTCAATAGCTTTAAATTCTTATATTAGAAAAGAAGAAAGATGCAAAATTAAAATAGAACCCAAGAAAGTTTTAAGCAACTGGACCATTTAAGAAAAGGAACCAGTGAGTTAAGATGGTTTTCTGGAGTTTGCTCTGCAAAGTATCTTCTCCATGAAAATCATCAATACTGGTATCATTCTAATTTAAATATCTGTGTTTATTAAACATGAAGTTAAAATATCCTTTGAGGTTACAAAGACCAGATTAAAATAACGTAAAAATATGTTTACAAGTCTATAACTGTCCCATGATCAGAAAAACAGAATTAATTGCATTTCATTCAAGTCAGCAACTTAAAAAGAGAGAGAGGGGGAAACAGCAAAACCTCCACTCACCTTGACAGGGTGACAGAAGAGATCAAAATGTGGCTTTTGTCCATCCTCCTCATCCCTACATTGAAGCCTCTTCCCTCAGGTGGTCCACAGGTCTCCCTGTACTGTATTCATCTAAGAAATCCCATCAAAAGTGACAGCTGCAAGGACTGTTGTTCTGGTTTGCTGAGCTTTTTCTTTATCAGTGTTGGCTTTAGTCGATTCTAAGATTTTTGAATAAACACCTGATTGGAGCCGGGCGCGGTGGCTCACACCTGTAATTCCAACACTCTGGGAGAGTTAAGCAGGCGGATGACAAGGTCAGGAGTTCCAGACCAGCCTGACCAACATGGCGAAACCCCATCTCTACTGAAAGTACAAAATTAGCCAGGTGTGATGGTGCATGCCTGTAATCCCAGCTATTCAGGAGGCTGAGGCAGGAGAATCACTTGAACCCAGGAGGTGGAGGTTGCGCTGAGGCGAGATCGTGCCATTACACTCCAGCCTGGGCAACAACAGCAGAACTCCACCCTCCCCCCCAAAAAATCTGACTGGATGATAGGAAGTATCTCAAAGTTCTACCTGCCTCTGAGAACTCATGGTCTCCTTCATTCTTCGAATGCTATCCTGGTCAAAACGTATTTGAAGGAATGGAATATAAATCTACCCAAACTGCTCAAGACTCTTCATTGCACGTTCTTCCCCTACTCCTGCAACACCCACCCTGTGGCCCAATGTCCTCTCATATCTATTCACTCAAGCTATCTGTTCCCCATAAATTGAGCTGTCATACGGCTTGGTAGGAGCCAAGGAGAAACTTCTCCTTCACTCTCTGAAGGTTGGATGAAAGACCGACTGACAAAAGGCAGGTTAAGAGGAGAAACGGCACATACCTTTATTAACACGCCCAGAGGAGCACCACAGAGTGCTCACCCCCACCCTGCCATGGGGCTCAGAAGCTTGTATGCCATCTTGAGGTTACAGAAAGAATGGGGGTTTGGATGGTGGCAAAACAGGTGATGGGAGGGGGAGAAGAGGAGGCCTGATTAGCAAAGATGGTCTCACCAGGCAGAGGTAACCTCCCACGTAGCAGCTCTCAGAGAGAATAGGTGGGAAATGGTTCTTTCAGACCTTTGAAAGTGCCAGCTTCTCAGTTCATCTTTCCTACATTGGACAAGAGAGGACCTCAGAGGAAGCCTGGCTGCATTAATGTAGATTTTTCTCTACAGATGCAAATCGCCCCCCATAAAGACAGCTTTTTAGAGTTTCTGACCAACCACAGTTTTTAAATGGGATTAAGACTGGGCCTGGTGGTTTATGCCTGTAATCCCAGCACTTTGGGAAGCCAAGGTGGGAGGATGGCTTGAGGCCAGGAGTTTGAGACCAGCCTGGGCACGACACACGGAGGGAGACCTGGTCTCCACAAACTAAAATAAATAGATTCTTTGAACGTGGTGGCACACATTGGTAGTCTCAGCTATTCTGGAGGCTGAGGTGGAGAACCACTTGAGCCCAGGAGGTCGAGGTGCAGTGAGCCATGACTGAGGCAGTGCACTCCAGCCTGGGCAGCAGTATGAGACCTGCCTCCGAAACAATAATTAAAACTAATATTAAAACACTTGTTGTTAAGTAAGGGGGCTGGGAATACAGTTCTTTGCATATGACTTTTTTCTTTCCCACAAATTAGCTTCTCTTTTCAATGAAAAGTTTTCATGACCTTAAAACTTAAATTTTTTTTAAAAAAACAATTGTTGAATGAGGGGAAACCCATATCGAACAGTGATCCAGGACACTTTAAAAAGTTCTTTTAATTCACACAGTTCAAATTGTCAAGTCTGACCTTGGAATAACATTTTTCTGTCCAACGTGTGAAATATTGGGTAATACAAAGATAATTACGGAAATATTCAGAGACTTTCCCCGCACCCAGACACAGAGCCACCTCCACTTCCTTCTACCGCTCTTACAAAAAGCGAAAAGCATGGGAAGGAGAGATGGCCCGTCTCCCTGGGAGCTGGTTAAGGAACCAGGCAAAGAAGTGAGATGCGTTTCTCATATTCGGACTTGACCTCACAGGTCCCCTAGGGTGAGTCACTTTTTCCTATTTCAGTCAATTTAGCTGTAAAATAATTACAATAACGAGGTCTTGTTTACTGAGACTGAAGTCCGAGCTGCCTCGCCTCATTCAGCGGCTAAAAAGAAAAACAGAGGGCAGTGATTAGTAAAGCTTCTGTAGCCAACGTCACGCAGCGTGGAGGTGAGACTGCAGGACTCGAGTACGCTAAGTGTCCTTTAAGTCAGACTTGAGAGTAGTGGAATCTAATAAAATTGTTTCTGCTGCTTCTCTCGTGGGTTTGTACTTGCGACCTAAAGTAAATAAAATAATAGGAAGCCGGAGTGGGGGCAGGGGGAGAAGAGATTGGACGGATGTTGGTCAAAGGATACAGACTTTCAGTTAGGAAGGAGAAATCAGTTCAAGAGCTGTATTGGGCGACGTGGTGACTAGTTAATACCAATGTATTAAATATTTAAAAATTGCAGCCGGGCACAGTGGCTCATGTCTGTAATCCCAGCACTTTGGGAGGCTGAGGCAGGTGGATCCCTTAAGGTTAGGAGCCCAAGACCAGCCTGGCCAACATGGTAAAACCCCATATCTACCAAAAAAATACAAAAATTAGCCAGGCATGCTGGTGCACATCTGTACTTAGCTACTTGGGAGGCTGAGGCAGGAGAATCACTTGAACCCTGGAGGTAGAAGCTGCAGTGAGCTGAGATCGTGCCACTGCATTGCAGTCTGCATAACAGAGTAAGACCCCGTCTCAAAAAAAAAAAAAAAAAGAAAGAAAGAAAGAAAAGAAAAGAAAATTTTCAAAGAGAGGAGATTTTAAGTGCCAGAGGACAAATAAAAAGCATTATGTTAATTATTGACTTAGCCATTCTGCAATATGTGCACCTGTATATTTCAAAACATCATGTTATATACCACAAATATATACAGTTTTTGCTGGTCAATGAAGAAATAAAATAGGAAGGTTATGTTAGGCTAAAGAAATTAAGAGGAGAGGAATGGAGTGGGGGATGGGAAGGGAGGGGAAGGAAGAGAAAAGCTGGTCAGGGGAAGATGAGGAGGGAAGGGAGGAGGGGAGCAGGCCTGCCCTTACTGCTTCTCAAGCTCTCTGTCTTGCCAAGATCTGGCTTGTGGCCCGGCACAGCAAAAGCTGGAAAAATGCCAATGACTCAACCCAGTTCCATTGATCAGTGAACTAGAAATCGGGCACTGTGTGTTTCAACCCCAGTCGGCCAGCCCACAGCCAGGGTCCAGGTGGCAGCCTCGGCTTCTGGCCTCAATGGCTGTCGGGAGAATGGGTTGGCCAGCCAGCCTCCATTGGTGTTGCATAGCAGGCAGCCAGCGCAGCCTGGAGCCCAGCCAGGGGACACAGCAGTTCTTTCAGCTTTTTAGGACAGACTGCTTTACCTCGGCAGTCACTCTTGGGGCCACACGGAAAGCCACCATTAGGTTACTATAAAATGACAGAGGCTGGTGTCTCTGGGAGAATGAAGAATAGTCACTTCCTGCCTTTGTCCATTAGCGCCGACCAAGGCGACCAGCTCCGTTTACATTCTTTCAGTGGTGTTATTGAAAGGGCTTGGCAGCCCCAAATGTTTGCAGTGTCCTTAGTCCCATGAGGACTGCCTTCTTCTTCTTCTTTTTTTTCTTCTTTTTTGCTAGCTTTTAGCTAGTGTCTCTGGAAAGATCTACTGGATGCGCTGGGCTCATTTTTTTCAAAAATCCACTTTACCCTTCAGGGAAGCCAGGAAGAGAGCACGCTTCCAACCGGTACAAGTCTGGAAGAACTTCACAGCCTCTCAAAGCACGGTACCCTTTTTGTTTCTTAGTCCAGCCTGTAACTGGGGTGGTTTTAGGGTGAAGCTGCTGGGGTGACATCTGCGGGGAGGTGTGGGGAACCGCAGATGAAAAGAAGTTACTGTTTTAAATCATATTAAATTGCTGTCAGCATTGAATCAAGGTATCTGAGGTTATTGTTTGGGGAAGGAAACTATAGCTATACAGAAAAATATTAAAACAGAACTTCTTTGGGAACCTTAAGAATTTTTATTTTTAATTTTTTTGAAACAGAGTTTTACTCTGTCACCCAGGCTGGAGCGCAGTGGAGTAATCATGGCTCACTGTAGCCTCGACCTCCTGGGCTCAAGTGATCCTCCCTCCTGAGTAGCTGGGACTACAGGAGCACACCACCACGCCCATCTAATTTTTTTGTTTTAATTTTTTTGTAGAGACAATGTCTTGCTATGTTGCCTAGACCAGCCTTAAACTCCTGGGTTTAAGTGATTCTCCTGCCTTGGCCTCCCAAAGTGCTGGTCATGAGCCACTGCACGTACCAAGAACTTTATTTTTCTGGCCAAGAACTTTATTTTTAAAAATAACAGTAAGCTATGTACTGTCTGCTGGAACTATTGGATGGTCCCCAGCATTTAATCCCATGGGACGTACCTGCTGCTGCACCTGGTGGTGTGTTCTTGTCACCTGCTCCCATCTCTCTCAGAGCAGCTCATGAAGGAGAGATGCCTCCGGCATCTTTTAAATATGATGGATCTTCCTGCCCTGAGCAGAATCCAAATTCGATGGTGATTTGAGGACTGCTGGAGTTAAAGTGTGCACATGCAGTTTTCAGGCAGCTAATTAAAGGAATCAATTAGTACACTTCTGGAACCCAAACTGCTCCAGTGCTGTAGGCAAAATTCCCTGCCTGCCCTGGCTCATCAGAAAAAGTTTGTATATGGAAAACTTCAGAACAGAACAAAGAAACTTAGGTCTGGATGAGGAATGAAGTCTTGGCTCTCGTTTAGCAATTCCTGAACTGCCAAGCGACATCAAATCCACTGCTGAAAAAACATCTGAAATAAAAAGAATTCCAGACATTAGGCATGGTTTAAAGCAGGGTATGCTTTTTTATTTGTGTGCTTCTGGGTCTAAAAGGGCCGTGGTTTGCTCCCCAAGGTGAAAGTGTGGCTCCCATTCCGCTCCTAGTTCTGAGCACTGTGATTTCTTTCTGGAGTTGTTCCAACCTGTGGACTTTGCTAATGAGTGATGAACCCCAGAACCTGAACTTCTGGTGTCAGCAGAATCACACACTCCCTTCTCAGGAGGTTTCTGGGACATTGGCCTTCATCCCAGCAGGATCACAAGTGGAAAGAAACACAGGGAAGACACCATCAAACCTTTAAAGTGGCCACACTGCGGAGCAATGACACAAAGAGACGTTTCTGGAAGGAGGGGAGGGATGCGATGTATCATTATTTTTTTCTAGATTGGATTCCGTGCGCAGGTCATCACAACTCACTGTGAATGCAAGCAGGGGGGCAAATCGTGGATCCGAAAAAAATCTCTCTGCAAAGATCCTTGCTCACTCACTTGTATGCACTTCTCAGCTATGGATTCATGCTTTTCCACTTGATGAAACATCCCTAAACGTCGCCCTCAATGTCCTGTTTGTGTTGCTGGCTCTCCGCCACTCAGTGATAATGAAACAGCCTGAGTGAACCTGCAGCAGCAGCTGCCTTAGCTTCGGTGCCTCCCCAGCCCTGCAGCTGAACCACTTTGAATATTTCTTGGTGGTGCAAGAGACAGTCTCACTCTTTCCTTCACTGACCTTCCTCTGTGTCGGTCACGGTTGGCATGAGCTACATCCTGTGCATGTTATGGTGAGAAGGGATGAATGAGGAAAGACAGGGTGGTTTTATACTTGCCCCCAGGACAGTCATTGGGTAAGGAAGGGTTTGGGGTGCTCTCTCAGGCTCCCCTCAATGCATGAAGGCCTGGGACGAGTCAGCTGGCAGAGGTGTGTCTGTGTTTAACTTAGAACTGAATGTTGAAGGCTTTGTGTCCCGAAGGGAAGAATTATTGGGATCTGATGCCCTGAGCAGGGGAAATTCCAAGCTCCAAAAGCCACAGTTAGAATTCAGAACTGTGTTGTTATCCTGCCTCTCAGTTTCCTCTACGCTCAACTCCTTTTTTAGATGATCATGAAGCTGTTTACACGTTGTCCTCCTCTGTGAACTTATCCCTGTAAACAGTGACAGGATTTTATCCAAATATTTCTGATTTCTAAAGAAAAAAATAGAGCGATTTCTTCCCAGTGCCCTTCTGTTGACCTTGCCTGGGGGAGAGGCCAGCAGAGCTAAGGATGACCTCACCCCCTTCCAGCATGGTTTCCTGGGACATACAGAACCTCCTTCTTCAGCTGTCTTTCTGTGATTAGCCACATTCAATCATAAGCTTTCAGAGCAGATGATGGGGACATCTCATATTGGTTCCGCTCACATTTCAGCGTGAGATCAAACACATAAAATGATCATTATGCTTCCTGAAGTCCCAAGGACCTTCTCTGTCCGCAGCAGAGTTGGGAGGTGGGCTGGCGAGGTGGGGCAGTCTAGGAACTGCACTGGTGGGGGCAGGAAACTGGGCTGAAGGGAGATGTAAGGGCTTGGTGGGAAATAAATGGCACTGTGTTGTTGATGGAAAAAGATCTTGGCAGGACCGTTGTTGTGAGTGTTCTGTGGCTTAGAAAGGAATTTCCTACAGGCTGGACTAACCATTAAAAATGTCTCTACCTTCAGGAGTCCCCGGCGTGCAGTGGAGCCTCACTGGGGGAAATGTCAGCTTGGACCATGGGCGCCCGCAGTCTGGACAAGCGAGGAAGTTTCTTTAAGGTAAAAGGAAGCCTTGATTAGGGTCTCGAATCGTTGGCTTGCTCCCTAGCCTGGGAGCTGCAGCGCTCCTTGGAGCTGCTGAGGGAAGTCTGCTCTCTGAGCCAGCACCGGCTAAGGGAGCTTGCCGGAGCCCAGCTGCTGACTGTCACCAGCGGGTACAGCAGGTTGCGGGGTCTGTGATTTAGTGCTTTCATGCAGGCACAGGACTTGGGCACGAGAGGGGCTGCGCTGTGCAAGACGGTGGAGGCTGTCTTTATCTGAGAGCTGCTCCGCTTGCCGTTTTTCAGCTGCAGAGTTTTATGGCGGACGTTGGACTTTGCTTCCCAGTGAATAAATAACGTTGTCCTGTGTTCTCTCCTAAAACAAAAACAAAACCAGATTCCTCAGCCTCACCTTAGAATGATGAAATATGACTTTCTGGTATGTTTTATCAAACATCCCCAAAGGCTTCTTATGATAACGAGGAAGCATGAGGACAACTGTCTAAGTCTTCTGTGTTCACATTGACGTTGATGAGACTCAATTACCTTGCTAGCTTAATGAGATGAGATTTTAAATGGGTGTGACGTACTCTGTGTGTGTGTCTTTAATGGAGACTTGGTGGTCGTTTCTGGTTGACACTTGGGAATCAGTTCCCCCCTTGGGGCTTTTCACTTTGTTTCCTTTCATCCACCCTCGAATGAAGGCAGCGTCAGTACAGAAAATGTTGAAAATACAGAATTACGTTTAAAATGGTAGAAAAGTGGAAGTAAAATATGCACTTGAAATCTGTCAGAACAGGTGTTCCAACATCAGGTCTTGTCCCCAGAGGAGGAACACGAGGCGGTTTTATTGCTGAGCAATTACTATGTTTAACAATTAACCGGCCTTCGTGGGTTGGCTGTATTAACACTTACTGACATGCTTCCTGTTACCAAGAGAACAAAACTTACTGTGTCAACTGTTGACTTTACAAAAAAATCCATCAGAAGAACCTGTTGATAAAGCAAAGTTCATGAGATTTACAGAAATAAGGAAGAGCATCCCTAGGACACAGTCCTATTCATGTCTGAGCAAGGGGAGGTTCAGAGGCAGGTTTATAGGATTCGGGCATCTGGGCCCAAGTCCTTCAAGCTGCATTTTTCGAGAAACTGATTTGATTTCCGTGATGTCTGTACCACAATAGCTTGGGATTGGTGGGTACAGCAAGGCGAGGATATTGAAGTGGACCTTGACAAATAAAGCCTTGTTTGATAAGTGAGCTGTTTTCCCAGGTGAGCAAATTGTTTGCCAGGACAAATTATCATGTAGACATTTCCTGCAGCAAACAGTGAAGTCATTTATTGGTTTACAGCCTTAATTTTCTGGGCAAGAAGATCCTGGAAGAAAGAGTTAAGTTATGTTGACACAGATGGTCTCAACGATCAACCCTAATAGTTAAGCTTTGTGGACATAAGTAGTCTCACTTCGCAAATGATTTGTTCAGTTTTGATCAAACCTGTGTAACCTTCACCCACAGGAGGCAGATGAGAGCAAGGAACTCCTCAAGTCCCCTGTAGATCAAGAGCTAAGCCCACCAGGTGGCCCAACTGTCATCCGGCAGGTTCCTGGGTTGAGTCCGAAGCCGAGATATTTATTTCCCCCAGCAGAAAGGATGATTCGAAACCTGTCCTTAACCCAAAGCACTGTCTAGATCAAGCTAAGTATTGGCTAGTCCATATTTACCACCTTATGATGGTCAGGAAGGACAGTGGCCCTGTATCTTACATGGTAGTTAGATTTTAAAGTCAAGGCAAAAGAAGAAAATGGAGGCCAGGCACGGTGGCTCACCCCTGTAATCCCAGCACTTTTGGGAGGCCAAGACAGGAGGATCACTTGAGGTCAAGAGTTTGAAACCAGCCTGGCCAGCATGGCAAAACCCTGTCTCTACTAAAAATTCAAAACTTAGCTGAGTGTGACCCCCTCAAGTAATTCCAGCTACTTGAGAGGCTCAGGCAGGAGAATTGTTTCAACCTAGGAGGCAAAGGTTGTAGTGAGCCAAGATCACACCACTGCCCTCCAACCTGGGCTACAGAGCAAGACTCCATCTCGGGGTAGGGGAGTGGGGGAAAGAAGAAAATGGATACAGTCAAAGTTTCCTTTGAACACTTCTTAGAAAGGTGCCCTGTGGGGCCCAGTGTACTACCTACTGTCATGTCCATTGTACCCAGTTTTTCCTGCAGTTCTGAGAAAATCATGTTTGTTTTCATTTGAGTTTTCAGCGGGACAGCAGATAAAGTCATTGACTTGGATTTCTGGGCTATGCTGTAGGAAAGAGCCAATCAGGTGAGAGGTGAGAGGCCTGCCTGACCCCACCCAGGGTGAGAACTACCATGTAAGCTTTCCTGGGTCAAATACCCGTGAAAATATTGGCAAAGATGCCTGCACTATTTCACTTATTTGTAACTTTGTGTTTGGGGCAGAGCTTAAATTGTTTAATTGGTTTAAGTCAAATGCTCCATGTAAATGATATAGTTACTTTATACGTCTTTCCTTCTTTCTTTCTTTTTTGAGATGGAGTTTCACTCTTGTTACCAAGGCTGGAGTGCAATGGCGCGATCTCGGCTCACCGCAACCTCCGCCTCCTGGGTTCAGGCAATTCTCCTGCCTCAGCCTCCTGAGTAGCTGGGATTACAGGCACGTGCCACTATGCCCAGCTAATTTTTTGTATTTTTAGTAGAGACGGGGTTTCACCATGTTGACCAGGATGGTCTCGATCTCTTGACCTCGTGATCCACCCGCCTCAGCCTGCCAAAGTGCTGGGATTACAGGCATGAGCCACCGCCCCTAGCCTCCTTCCTCTTCCTTCTAGACATAGTTATTCTTTGCTGTGACTATTCCATAATTAGTCACCAGCATTCATCATGCAGTTATCTATGGGGAGAAGTGAACTGCCCTTTGGACATCCTGTACTGACTCTTTGCAGGTTTATTTGTAAGAAGCTAGAGGAGAGTTCAGTGCTGAAATGGGTGGTCACCCAGTAGGCACCTTCTGGGACCCACTAGCCCTGCTCTGACTCACCATGCTTTATTTCCATTCTCACCCATTAAGCACCCATGAGCAGCCAAGCTGTGCAGTTGGCCAGAGAGAGAAAAAGCAGAAGCCACTCCTAACCTCATGGAGCTTTCAGTCTGGTAGCAAAGAAAGATATAATCAGGCGGGCGCAGTGGCTCACACTTGTAATCCCAGCAGTTTGGGAGGTCAAGGCAGGCTGATCACAAGGTCAGGAGTTTGAGACCAGCCTGGCCAATATGGTGAAACCCCATCTCTATTCAAAATACAAAAAATAATAATAAAAATTAGCCGGGCGGCCAGGCGCAGTGGCTCAAACCTGTAATCCCAGCACTTTGGGAAGCCGAGGCGGGTGGATCACAAGGTCAAGAGATCAAGACCATCCTGGTCAACATGGTGAAACCCCGTCTCTACTAAAAATACAAAAAATTAGCTGGGCACGGTGGCGCGTGCCTGTAGTCCCAGCTACTCAGGAGGCTGAGGCAGGAGAATTGCCTGAACCCAGGAGGCGGAGGTTGCGGTGAGCTGAGATCACGCCATTGCACTCCAGCCTGGGTAACAAGAGCGAAACTCCGTCTCAAAAAAAAATTAGCCGGGCATAGTGGTGCGCACCTGTAGTCCCAGCTCTTTGGGAGGTTGAGGCAGGAGAATCGCTTGAACCCAGGAGGTGGAGGTTGCAGTGAGCTGAGATGGCACCACTGCACTAAAAAAAAAAAAAAAAAGATTAATCAAATAATCACAGCACCAGACACATAATTATGAATCATTTTTTAAAAATCCTTCATGGGAGAAATTAAAAGAGCTCTGAGAATATATAATCTAATCTGGGGTTCCAGAGAAACCTTTCCCGAGGGAGCAGCCTTTGACTTGAGAGCTGAGGTTGACATGATACCGTTGAGGGAGACGGCTGGAGCTAAGTTTGGGAGCGACTCCGGATGCGACCACAATCAACGTGCCTCTCAGCAGACGCCAGTGATGCCTGCACCTGGAGAGGTGCTTCCATAAAGCATGAGCTTTCTTGGTCACATTCTTGGCTCACAGCTGAATTCCACATGAGTAGTATCCCTCTCTGGGCCATTAGTGCTCATGTGACTTTGTGTAAAGCACAGATAATTGGAAGACAATCACTGGACCTCTTTTTCGTCATTATCCTCCCCATCCAGTTTGTGTTTCTAAACCGGAGTTGCTAACCACTAGTAGCAAGCCTTGATTTGTGGCTTCCCATCTGTCCTGGCTCATGGACATGACTCAGATAGGCCAGAAGACATGAGGTATGTGGATAACACACAGATTGACTGAGCATTGTGGGGTCACTGAGATGCCCTGTGGTTACTGTTCATGTGGAATCGCATACCAGAAGCTCCAGCCACACCCATCCTATGCAGATAAACCCATTTTCCAGTTGCTCACAGCACCATTGTTAATTTTCCACAACCATCTAGGAAAAGTAGTATCTTCCCACTCCACAAAACATATGGAGGGGCCAGGCGCTGAGCCTCACACCTGTAAATCCTAGCACATTGAGAGGCCGAGGCCAGCGGATCATTAAGGTCAGGAGTTTGAGACCAGCCTGGCCAACATGGCAAAACTCTGTCTCTGCCAAAAATACAAAAATTAGCCAGGCTTGGTGATGGCTGCCCATAATCCCAGCAACTCAGGAGGCTGAGGCAGGAGAATCACTTGAACCTGGGAGGTAGAGGTTGCAGTGAGCTGAGATGGTGCCACTGCACTCCAGCCCGGGCAACAGAGCAATACTCCGTCTCAAAAAACAATAACACTAAAAACATGGTGGGGGCAAGGGGTAACACCCTAGACATGGTAGCCAAAGTTATCTGCTTCTAAGTAATAAACGTGAACACCTATTGCTCTCAGATTTCAAAAGTATATTGAACGAAAGAGTTTGCAGAAGAAAGATGTCATCTAGGCTAGGAAAGCTCTCGATAGTCTTGAATTAAGGGCAGAGATGCTAAAAGTTTTCTTTGATCCCTACTTTCCCTGAATCCCGTGACTTCCCCCAAGCACAACCCACACCTCCCACCATCTAGGCTCCCAATGCTGGCAAACCCTCCTCTTTAAAATTTATTTTTTTTTTATTTTTAAACATCTTCCCTTTTTAAAAAAAATAGAAATGGGTTCTCTGTGTTGCCCAGGCTGGTCTCAAATTCCTAGCTTCAAGCAATTCTCTTGCCTCGGCCTCCGAAGGCCCTGGGATCACAGGCGTGAGCCACCACCCCTGGCCCAAATATTTCTCATGTCTCCAAAGCCCTTTCCCTTCTTTCCTGTCCTATATCCACCTTCCTCCTTAGGGTCTCATTCTTTCATTTGGT